AAAAAAGCACCTTCCGTCGGTGTGAAAGAGTAGAAAATTGTGAAACTATTTTCGTTCACATTTTAAGGAATATATGTTACCCAGAGCAAAATTTACTTCCAACATTGATATACACTTTTAAAATGGTACCATATTTCAATAGGGGGCGCTGTTCAAATTCGACGGTTATTAACACTACATTACAGATGATGTACCGGTACCGTATTTTGAACAGGCGGACATTATACCAGTATCATTTTTTGGGGGGTGTCACAGGGGTGTTTCGATTTATTTTTAGGAATTTGTATGATAATTTTTTTTGACAGAACTGGGGGGGGGGGGTGTTTGACCCCCCCCCCCCCCCCCCCCCCTCTTGATCCGCGCCTGATGTTATGAGTAATCAACGCCTGAAGTTGGATACACTAGGAAAATCATGTAATAAGAACCGGAAAATGTCCCTGTCTAAAAAGTCACATAATACAAATCTGTGGCTATAGATTAGGCCTATTGGGAGTGGGGGTTACAAGGACGGATCCAGAGCACACTTTTGTTGGGGGGGGGGGGCTGTACAAATCAACCAGGCCAAACTGGTAAAGGTCCTAGCTCTAACAGCCTGTTGGCACCAATTCTCGAGGGCGTCATTCGGTTCTCAGAGTGGGGGTGGTACATACATGTGTATCTTGATCAGTACTAAGTGTGCGAGTGCGAAGCCTAAACGGCGCGGGGTCCGGGGCCCACTTAAGGGCCCCTGAAATCAATTGGATTCTAGGCACCCCGTGGTGCGATCTGAGGCAATTTCTGGCGACTGCCAAAGATTTAGCACAAGATCATCATTTAAACATCTTTTTTGAGTTTGGAGTCATAAAATCAGCTGTTCTGAGCTATAGAATCAAATGTAGGCTACATATTTTTATTCAGGGACGAAAATCGTTGGAGAACGACATCAGTTCTCCCCCCCCCGTTCCCACCGATCGACGCCCATGGTTTGCACCGTGCTTCAGAACGACAGACTTTACACGTACATTTTATACGTAGGGCCAATGCATACATGCTGTACAGCGTCAGTGGTGAAATCGAAATTTTTTAGAGAGACCCTAAAACTTTTTTAAAAAGTTTTCTCTGCGCGTGTTGGTGTGTGTGGGTAGGCCTATGTGTTTTATGGCACACTGCGGTATTTTATAGGCCCTCCCCCAAGTTTTCGTAGGCGCCAATTTTTTTGTAGGCCCTAGACACAGTACCTACTGTGCCTATGGGTAATCCGGGCCTCACCCAAGTGCTACATCACGATATAAACAAACAATCAAGAATTTTGCCTCTTTGGGGGTGGGGCTTAATTTTATAAAAGCGGGGGCAAATGTTATTAACAGAAAATCGAGACGGTAACGGACATTTCTTGGTGTTTTTTGTTTTGTTTCCATTCAGTACAGTGAACTGGGTGGACAGAATGTTTACCTGTCAAATTACAAAAAGAAATTGTTTCCCTATTTGGGAGTGTGTCATACTTTTTTTTTTTAGAAAAAGGGGGCATATTCCAAAAGTGGGCTTGCGGGAGCCATTATGTCAGCATCAGGGTGGCTGGCTGTATTTGCACACATCTCTTCAGCCTGCATGATATCTACACAGTTCAGTGCACACTAGGTTTTGGCTGAGCAGCAGGAACATCTTGCAGTTGCACACTTGTCGGTGGAATAGACTTGGTACCAAGGCTGTACTACCGTCTATCAAGAACTCTCGATTCCCCCTCCCCCCCCCCCCCCTCCGCCCCCTCCGCTCCCTCCGCTAAGAATGTCATTGCGTGCGGTTCGACGACGGACGACCGAGTGGTTTCTGTGAACATATTATGCTACTGCGCCGGTACAAAGCTGTCTTTTCGCGAACTCTCGACCCCCTCCCCGCCTGTTGTTAAGAACGCCCCTGTGTGCGGTTCGATGATCGAGTGGTTTGGGCCAATAAAAAGTCTCAGGTTTCTGGTATGGAGCTTGCCCAAAATGTGGTGCGGCGACGCGGCTTTTTTTTACCGTTTTTTTTTCAAATGTCGGCTGATGACTGCAAATGGTGCCCGACTAAACGTAGTGCAAATATATGGGAGTCCAGCCGCCACATAAAGCTTATACTCGATCGGAACCCCATCTAAAAACACGTTAAAATTGTGCAGCAGCAGGATTCCAGTCAAACCAGTAAGTTTGGAGGTTTTCAGACATCATCTTTCATTGAAAAAAAAAACCCTTTTTCATTTTGCCGACGCGCATGGCTGCGGTGCGCATTGGCCTTAGGGAACATCAATTCGCTGCTGCGTGCGGTTCGAATTTGATGACTGATTGGTTTCTGGGAAACTGAATGCTGCTGCGTGGTACAAGGCTGTACCGTCTATCGTGAACTCTCCCAATAAGAACGTCTTGCACCAAGACTAAGTGTGCTTGCAACATGTTTGTTCCTCAGTCGAGCTCCAGACGAAAAGATTTCCGTTGTAAAGATGACTGCCAGTGGCGTAGCACGGTCATTTTTATTGGGGGGGGGGGGGTTAAAACTCGCACATCCGTGGTGAAATGTTCACACGTTTTTTTCTCCGGACGCTTGGCCTCCGTAAAATCAAAGGGGGGGGGGGGGGGGGGGCGGGGGGCTGGTATCATCTGTCGATGGGGGCGCTGTTCAAACCGACGATTATGCGCACCAACGGACAATATATGGTGCTTTTCAGGGCGATACATGCGTGAAATTCTAAAAAGAAAAGAAAAAAAAAGGCATCCAAAACGGCCGATGGCACACAAAAAAGGGCACCACTTCTTTTTAAAAAGGGCACTTGTTCAGAAAAAAGGGTACTTGTTCAGAAAAAAGGGCACTTCTTAAAAAAAGGGCAGCCTTTACAAAATATTGGGGGGGGGGGGCCCCTCCCGCTGGCTACGCCTATGCTGACCTGGATTTCGACACTCTGTTGGTCCTTGCCATGTTTTTCTAACGGATATATTACTTAGGCCGAGTGATTTCAATTTGCTAGGAAATGGTTTCCACATAATTAATTGTGTCAAAAAACGGTTAACAAGTAGCCAATATCAAAAGAGACATTTTGTACATCAACACAAACCCTATGGAGAAAATTCTGAAAAAGCAAAACAATAAAAAAAATAAAAAATGAAAAAATCTGAACGAAAACAAGAGCTGTTTCGACTTGCCGAAAACAGCTGATAATATAAACACAACATTTAGAACGCCCACTTTCTCTGAAAGCCATTCAAAGGGGCCTAGATGTAAAGAAAAAACCCTCAGTTTTGGGGGCAAAACCAAACAAGTGTTCTGAGTTTCTTTGAAAAAGTGTAATATAGGTTTTCCCGGCCAATTCCCTAAAATTTTCATTCACTTCTAACAATCGGTCATTCATTTTCGTCTGAATTTGAGAATCCTCTGAACACGCGTTTCATTCTCGCTATACCAGATCCTTTGATTCCATTTCAGTTCATTCAATTAAGTGATCGAGCACCACCTTTCGTTTATGTTCATTCAGATTCGTTTACAAGACTTCTTTTTCGCTATTAGAGGGCGATTTTAAACATTGCCCATTCTATTTCAGTGTTAGTTTAATGTTCTGTGATCAGTCTGCTATTTTGAATGAGAAAAACGTACGCTTGCCCCCCCCCCCCCCCCTCCTCGAGAACGGAAGATCTTTCGTTGTAAAATTAACTAACCTTGTACCGACCAGCGCGGTTCTAGAGCCTATATTTTAGGGGGGGGGGGGGCTAGCAGGGGTGGATCCAGAATTTTTGCGGGGAGGCGTGCTGAAATGTAGATCTGACCGTTTTTTTCTCCGTTCTCCGGACAGTTAGGCCACCGTAAATCAGTAGGGGTGGGGGCTCGTACATATGTTCAATGCTGATAAAATCCTACAATCATGCACACTATATAACCTCAAAGTGTTGAAATGCCCCCTTTCTCACGACTAATTTTTAAGGGGGGGGGGAGACCGTTCGCATGTGACGTCACCTTCTAACATTTGCCACTGCCATTTTTTTATGGAATTCTTTTGGGGGGCTAGACAAAAGGCCCCCTCCCCCATCCCCCGTATAGAACCGTGTCTGGTAACCACACTCCGTTGGTCCTTGCCATGTTTTTCCGACAAATATAATACTTCCAAAGAATGATTTCGATTTACTTGGAAATGTTTTCCACATAATCATTTATGTGCCAACAACTGCTAAAAAGTACAAATAAGAGACATGTTCATGCATCGACACTGATACGAGCAGAAGTCGTAACCCATGCCCCCTTAAGGTCACATCTGGAAAAGCTTTCGATTCGGTCCTTGACGCCTCTCTGGAACTTTGCCAAAAGATTCATTTCTTCAAAATCATTCAACAACATAACGAGGGGAACTGTGACGAGGGGAAAAAATAATTTTGTGGCGGTTCGGGTGTTTTCTATTCTGTACAGTAAATATGTGTCGGTCTGTAAGTTCTTGTGAAGATTTGCAGGACGGTTTGATGTTTTATAGAATATGAAGTGTCAAAGTTCTTACCTCCTTGGCATATGCACTTCCCCAACATTGGGCACAATTCTTACCTGCTAGCTAGCGAGAGGGGGGGGGGGGGGATAGGATACAACTGCAGACTGTAATTTCATGATATTCGCATCAGGCGTATTGATCGTTCAGGTCAGGTTGTGCCATCAGTAGTATTCTAAGAAGTGAACTGATTATGAGCCTTGAGTAGAAAAAAAACTCTTCTATATAGCTGGAACTTTGTTGATCAGTAGAAAGCCATCCCATAATGATATTCACATCAGGTGTCTGATCTTTTGGGTCAGATGTGTCATCAAATATTTTTAGAAATGAACTGATATACGATCGAGCGGAAAAAAAGCTCTTCTATATAGCTGGAACTTTGTTGATCAGTAGAAAGGCCATCCCATAATGATATTCACATCAGGTGTCTTGATCTTTGGGTCAGATGTGTCAGCAATATATTCTAAGAAATGCACGAGTCCTTAAGTGGAAAAAAAGCTCTCCTAGTAGCTGGAACTTTTGTCGATCAGTATAGGATGCCATCCCATAATGATCCTTTAAAAATCCGGCCATAGCAACTTGGGTTTAGGACCTGTATATAGGGGCTTGAAATTCTGCCTTGCCTGCATTCTGTGGATTGCGGTTCCCAGGGATTGTCTCAACCATGTATAGTTTGGTGAGCCGAAGAGGCCGGTGCGTCTGCCTCCTATTCCTTGTTGCTATCATAACTTTTTGCCGGGCGCAGGAGCTCAGCTCATCATGTAAGTAAGATACCCTACTTCGAATCACCAATTGCTTTCATTAGCTGCTTCGGCCATACAGCCAAAGCAGACATTGTTTCTGTTTGTGTGTTTTTCTCCGTTTTTAAAACTTCTTTTCAGTAACATGGTTCTCTATGGGTTTTGTACACTTTTCTTAAACCCCTACACTTTGACACTTTCGTTATTCTGTCTTTTCATAATTATTCAAAAAGAAACAAATTACATGCTGAGAAGACAGAACAAGTTCTTCCTTCGGCGGCAATTTATCAGTGTAAATGAGAGAGATCTGTTTGTAAACTACACGCTGTCTTTCGTAATATAATTTGCATAAATTGTTCAAACAGAAACAAATACGAATTTGAAGATTAACATTAAATGAAAACATTGCACAAATGTCAAATCACAAATGCTTGCCTTTTCACAAAATTGAACGTCCAAAACGCCCTCCGCGGAGTGTCCGAGCGAATTTGAACGTTATTTAGATGTTTTTTCCCAAATTGAATTCTGACTCTTCAATTCTGTATAACAAATATGTGTAATCGTGTGATCATAAAGTTAAATTGAATGATTTGTGCTCTTTGAATGATGATCTAGTTCGTCAATCAATTTCGTCCTAAATTGAATGAACCTATCGTTAATTCGGATGCTAAGTTATCGAAGTTGGGCGGGAAAACCTATAGTATACTAATGTTTGGGTCGGTTTCAGTTTGCGTTTGTGATTTTCGGCTCGGGTCGGGTTGAATAAGCCATCTTGTGAAAAATCCGAAATCAACCGATATTTACCGAAATAAACCGAAACGTTCGAAAATTCAAGCGGCGCAATAAGTTAGGCAAGTTCGAGCAAGGACCAGTGGTTAACTAGTGGTCGGTTCGTGACGTACCTAGCGCATGCACACTAAAGTTGAAGTGCGAACGACTCTAGTCGAACTATTGTCATGTCAACAACCGTCAAAAAATATTATAAATATTAAAATATACAATATTATTCAACACTTGTTGTTTCTCTTTATTTGAAATAATAGTGGTTGTGTATACAGTCTCGTTTTCACCATTTTAGTTGATACTCTCTAAATTCCAAAGAGTGAAAATTCACTTCATTCAAGTGAAGATTTACTCCCACAGTCGGAAACTAGGGACTAGACGTTTTAGAGTAAATTTCTTCAATCGTAAAGATCGATCGAAATTTCACTCGAGCTCCGACTGAAGTGGTTCATTATTCAGACTATTTCAATCGAATATGAGAGTGATTTTCACTCTAAAACGTTTAGTCCCTAATTTCACTCTTTGGAATTTAGAGAGTCAGTAGATGGTCCCCTTTGCACTATACTATGGAAATTGCTATTGATAACCAGCTATAAATCGTTGCGCGACCAGCCGCGGTAGGCTGGTTCCAAATAGTCGACTGGGGGAGACAACCATCGTTGACTAGAAAGAGTTAACCACTATGGTTAACTAGGGTTTTAACATTGGTCAACAATAATTCTTGCGCGAACCGCCAATCCTCCGCGCGAATGTGCATAGCTATGTTGCATAGTCCATAACGGGTAGGATCACCAGTAAGTCACATTATAAATCTTTTGTTACTGAGAGACGACGGTTTTTACCCGACGCTGGCAAGTATACAGGCAAAAAAAAGCGGACACATTTACCCAAACCAGATACTTGCAGGGTTTTTTTTTTTCTTGTCGGTTCGGGTCCGTATGGTGCTGACTTCGGTCGGATTTGGGAAGTTCGATCGGTTGCTGTCCGGATTCACTATTTATGTTTTTTGGGTCGGTTTGGCCTGGTCAACCCGACCCGATGCACAACATTACACACATCTTTGTTTTCGTGAATATGAAAGGCCTCATGGGCGTCGCCAGGATTTTTTCTAGAGGGGGGGGGGGGGGCAAAGCACATTTCCCCCCCAAAAATCCCTCTAGTTTCCAGCATTCCCCCCCCATTGCCCCCCCCCCCATTAAATTAACAACAATGTGACTTTGCACTTCTTTGCTTTTTTCTCTCCCCCCCCCCCCCTTTTTGTGCTTTTCCGAGGGGGCAAGCGCCCCCTTTCCCCTCCCCCCCCCCCCGCGCCGCCCATGAGTACGGTATGTTAAAACCCAACTTGGTGTACAAGTTGAAGGCTTACTCTTTACAACTGAACGTGTTTTGATCTGTTATTAATGCTGTAACCGTTATTGCCTTGGTGTTAATTTATAGGGTATTGGGTGCAATTAGGGCAGCCCTGCAAGCTTGCGGCACGTGTCTCCCGTTGTATCACCGGCAAATACTTTGATATTTTCCGTTGTGATATTTGTTTTTTTATGAACTAGCTCCCAGCTCCTATGAGGATGGTTACCCTGCGCATTTACCATGCATGGACAACCACCGCCGGATATATTTCCACGGGGAAACCTTGAAGATGACCAGGTGTTCGTCCTGCACGTGTAACAACTCCACTCTCAGTTGTATGTTCGAGTCCTGCGGGCCGGCAACATGTGACAACCCAGTAGGATTTCCGGGCGTCTGTTGTCCAGTCTGCCCTTACAGTACGTTTTTGTTCTTTAAAAAGACTCATCTGCTTTAACCCTAAAAGGGCCGGGTTATTTTTTACAATCTCAAAGGGTTTGGAATTATGGCTAATTAATTATTCATATGTACGAATGGCAATTCTGCTATGTGTACACGACGTATATGCGAAAATCCAGTTTTCACTGCGCGTAGCGCAGGGAAAAATTTCGCTACGCGGCAACCCGTGGTCCGATTTTATGTGTTTGGTATCTAACGATGCGCAAAGCTCGAGGCTAAAAAGTCATAACAGCTCGGGTCGCGAAAAAAAACTTTTTACAGGCTATCGCGGAAAATGTTGAGGGGGGCGGGCCCCCGCCCTTTTAGGGTTAAACTACGGAAGCGTAGAAGGGCCACGAGAAATAAAAAAAATCGAGTTACAATCTCGCCGCGGCGAGATAGTAACTCGCCGTGGCGAGATAGGAACTACATTTTTCTTAATTTCTCTTGTCCCTTCTACGCTTCCGTATTTAACTGTGTTTCACGCCGAAAAAAAGGGGGGAAACAGTCGAACCTCAGCTCTGAGTGAATATAGGTTTCCGGGCTATTTCAAAAGATGTTTCATTCAAATTCACCAATTCTGTCACTGAATTTCACACGCTTTTAACAAAACCAATTAAGTCATTTAACATTCAAGTTTAAGGTTTGTTCACCCTCTTTAGTCACCGGGTCGAGTGACAGATCAAATTCGTCATTAGCTGTTGCCGATGGGCAGCATTCAGAGATCAAATTCGTCTTATATAAATCAATTAGACGAATTCGATTTCTGAATAACAAGGTTTTGCTAGACGAGACGAAATCGAATACCCCGGGGACGAAAACGTACGCTCGTTAGCTTGAATTTGCTTGAACTGAATTTGAAGTTGTCTGACAACAGACGCAATTAATCATTGGAAGTGCACTAAATTGATGTTCCTGGACGAATTTGACTATTAGAAACGGTGAATTCAAATGATAAACGTTTTACAATAACCGGGATATTACTTATAATATTAAAAGCATTATTAACATTAAAAGCACAGTCGTTGGCAGCAGCTTGATGGTTTGGTGTTTAAATGGGGCTACCTTAATGCACCTTAACAGAGGTTGTAGGCCTATAGTTTAACCGTTACTCCGTTAGTGAACCGAGTAAATTTAGATCGTGAAAGCATGTCTTGTACCATCGTCACCGACACCACGAACTGACACCCTCTGCATCACACGTGTACACAAACATTTTAAAATTCAAATTTTCTTTTTTTGCCGATATTAGCAGTTTGTATCATGAAGTTTAACATGACGAAGTTAAAATTGCTGAAATCATCTAAAATAAGCAAATTTTAATGATGAATTTTCAAGAAATTGGTCAATTCTGGTGTTTTTTGTTACCACGAAGTGACACTGCACAGGGTGTCAGTTCGTAAAAAAAAAAAAATTTACGTGTTTTCGGAGAGTGTGCGCATGCGATAGCGTTAGGGAGTGTCAGTTCGTGAAAACGAAACTTGACGTGTTTTTGGAGAGTGCGAGCACGCATTCGCAGTGTGTGCGCGCACTCTCCCAAAAACACATAAATTTCGTTTTCACGAACTGACACCCGTCTTAATCATTTAATTGCTTATTAACTAAGCATATCTTCACAATATAACGTTTATAATTGAGTAGTTAAAGCATTTTCACGTTAAGTGATACTAATACCTCTAAGATAGATAGATTATTTTACTGAGAAAAAAAAAAAAATTAAAAGCGTTTTTCTCCGATTTGTATTACTGCAACGCTGACCACCGGGTGTCAGTTAGTGGTGTCGGTGACGAAATATCGTATGTGTTTTGCACCAGAAAAAAAGGCCAAGTGCAATTGATGTCTATTGTGATTTACCTTGGATTATTTTTACTCCGTTTTAAACCTACTGTTGTTTTCATTACTGTAATCCAGATATAACGGTGACAGATGTTGAGCCAGAGGTTGCACCTGGTACCTCAATTTGGCAGGGAACCAAAAACAAAATTATCCTTGATCTGAACGTGGGCTACCTCAACACCAGAGAAACCACGAGCATAGCAGGGGAGGGTCTATGGACGACCAAGGTGTGGATGAGTTCCTTGGCAGATGGGTCCAATGAACTCTCCGGCACTGTGGTGGAGGAGGCATTGACCGAGGGACAGCAGTCCAAAAACTTGAAGAAATCGTCAGCTGAGCTCTTTAGAATCCCGGAGATTCGATACACGTTTGACCTGACGGATCACTCTTGTGGTGACGCCAAGTACGTCTGTGCCAAATTCAACAAAGGACCAAACGCAGAGGTGGAGAAGGACTACTTGGACTACCATTTCAAGGCAGTCCCGACAGAGGAGGTTTTAACCGGATGTACTGAAATCACCGAATGTAGAGGTATGCAGGCTCTATTTCCCTTGTAGATATTTAATATATACATTTTTTTTAAAGTGGAGATTGACCAAAAAAGTTGTTTTTTTTTTAAATCAAATGACTGTAGTTTTCGCTGCTTGACCTCTACAAATTATTAGGCATAAACATGACAAGGATTTTGAAAGCTCGAAATGATTTCGAGCTCAAGAAATGGTAGCACTTGTCTTTAAAGACTAACCAAAATTATAATTATGGCATAAGTTTTCATAGCTACGGTTACTTCATCAGTAACCGTAGCTATCAGCTCAGTCTTTAAAGTGCTACATTCTCTATATAGCTGTAACTAGCAGACATAAACGGCTGTACTGTATACATCTTGTTCCATAAATATGAAAGGTCGTTCATACGGTATGTTAATAAAACCCAATGGTGGTGTAGGTGGTGTACAACTGAAAGTGTTTTGATATTTTGTTATACAGGTTGAGTAAAAAAAAAACCACCAAATAGCGGGAAAATTTTTGTAATGAAGTTCTGCATGTAACACTTTCAAAATCTAGGATATAAAATCCCAATTAATAAACTTTCTTTTAGTGCAAGAAACATTCAAATCACTCACGTACTTTTCAAGTTACGGAATATGAAACACAAACACCGTTTTAAAGTTCTGTCCCCGGATCACAAAAAAACGGTCAGTGTTCTTCCAGCAAGACGAAAACAATTCACGTACATCCGTATGTGAATTGTGTTCGTTTTGCTGAAAGAACACTTACCTTTTGGGTTTTTTTGCAGGGGGGGGGGGGGGCAGCCGTGCAAACTTGAGGCCTGTGTCTCCCCTTTTATACCGCTCAGCCCATACTGTGATGTATATCTCATTAAAGTATTGTCATAGTTGTATTGAATTTGGTTGTTAAAACATTGATTGCTTCCCTTTTTCATTCTTCTATTATTTGCTGCAAAAGAGGCAACATTTTTTTCGTTCCGACTTTTACTATGTATTTTCTAGCTTTACTGCCATGCAAGGACAACAGCAACCGGATTTCTCTCCACGGGGAAACCTACAAGATGACTAAGTGTTCGTCCTGCACGTGCAACAATGGCATTCTCAGCTGCATGTTTGAGTCCTGTCCACCAGCACATTGTAGAAACCCAATGCGATTTGCGGATGTCTGTTGTCGAGTCTGCCCTTACAGTACGTTGTTATCTTTAAAAAGTTGTAAAAAAACAAATTCCTTGGTATAGCAAGGGGCCTTATATCACTGAATTTTCGCAAATGTCCTTCAATGCAGGAAACTAATAGCACGTGACTCACTCTCAGTTGCGTATGGGGGGGGGTATTAAAACAGCTCTGTCTCAATCCCATCTTCCAAATTGGGGCACACTTCAAAAGAAATCCGCCGGGGGGGGGGCAAGGTGCCCCCCCCCCCCCCCCCCCCCCCCCGCGGATACGCCACTGCGTTGTGTTGCCTGCCGAACTTAGGGGGGAACACATCCTTCGTGTATTACATCTATTGCACAAGGTTTACGGTCACAGCTCTGAGGAAATATTTTGTGCACAAAATCGTATGTGTTTTGCACCAGAAAAAAAAGGCCAAGTGCATTTGATAGCTATTGTGACTTACCTTGGATTATCTTTACTCCGTTAACCTACTGTTGTATTCATTACTGTAATCCAGATATAACGGTGACCGATGTTGAGCCAGAGGTCGCACCTGGCACCTCAATTCAGCAGGGAACCGAAAACGAAATTATCCTTGATCTGAACGTGGGCTACCTCAGCACCAGAGAAACCACGAGCATAAAAGGGGAAGGTCTGTGGACGACCAAGATGTGGATGAGCACCTTTGAAGATGGGTCCAACGAACTCTCCGGCACTGTGGTGGAGGAGGCATTGACCGAAGGACAGCAGTCCAAAAACTTGAAGAAATCGTTAGCTGAGCTCTTTAGAATCCCGGGGATTCGATACACGTTTGACCTGACGGATCACTCTTGTGATGACGCCAAGTACGTCTGTGCCAAATTCAACAAAGGACCAAACGCAGAGGTGGAGAAGGACTACTTGGACTACCATTTCAAGGCAGTCCCGACAGAGGAGGTTTTAACCGGATGTACGGAAATCACCGATTGTAGAGGTATGCAGGCTCTATTTACTTTGTACATATAAAAAAAAAAGAAGAAGACTTATAGCCCCATCTAAAAAAGGGGTCTGTGAAATCACATGACCGTAGGGGATGCGCTGCGTGACCCCTACAAACTATTAGGCATAGACATGAAAAGGATTTTGAACTCATGAATTGATTTGAGGTCAAAAAAGTACCTTCGAGACTAACTAAAATTAAACTGAGGGCATAAGCTACAGCTACTTCATCAGTAACTGTAGAGCTTTTGCCATAAAGTGCTACATTTTCTAATAGCTGTATTTAGCAGAAACACGGATGTATACATCTTTGTTCCTATGAAGGCCGTTCATATAGGTATGTTAAAACCAAAATGGTGGTGTACAACTTAAAAGTGTTTTGATCTGTTATTCGTTGTATGTGTACTTGCCGTGGTGATACTTTTGGAGAGTTTTCGCTGCAATAAGTGCAGCCCCGTAAACTTGAGATCTGTGTACACACGCAACCCGTAGTTTGAAGTATTTCTCATCAGAGCATGGTCATAAATATTTATGACCAATCTCTGATGACAAGATGGAGGCAATCAATGTTCTGATTCAATTTGGTTGTTAGAACATTGATTGCCTCCATTTTCTATTTGCTGCTGAGAGACAATATATTTTGTTCATTAATTGTCCCCCTAGTTTTCGAGCGTTATCCGCAGCGACTCCCCTGCATGGACAACAGCAACCGGATTTCTCTCCACGGGGAAACCTACAAGCTGTCTATGTGTTCGTCCTGCACGTGCAACAATGCCATTCTCAGCTGCATGTTTGAGTCCTGCCAACCAACAACCTGTAGAAACCCAATGGGATTTCCAGGCGACTGTTGTCGAGTCTGCCCTTACAGTACGTTTTTATCTTTAAAATGTTGCAAAAAAATTACACGTGACTCACCAACTTTGTACTGTGTTTCCTGCAAAACAAAGGGGGCGGGGACCACATCGTACTTGTTGTATTACACCTATTGCACAAGGGTTTCGTTCACAGCTCTGAGTAAATTATTTTATGGACAAAACATCCAACACGCAGTCGTTGGGCAGCAGTTTGACGATTGGTGCTTAAATGGGACGTGCATTGTACCTTAACAGCAGTGAACCCAAGTTTTGTTAGGGAAATTACGACTGAGTTATGGGGACTTTCTGCTGTCCTCACTAAATAAAACAAGTATCTGCTTCTGACAAAGTGTTGCACACATTGCGATTGTGAAGTTACGGGCACCGTTCCATATATTAAGAGAAAAAAATCCACTTTTAATTTATTTGACTGAACAAGCTGGTTGGCACCATTAAGAACGTGCAGGTACGTCATAGAATCGTCATCGATTTTTGAGGGAAATTTGGGGGTAAAATGACGATGACCGCGACAAAACGCAATACGAAAATAAAAATGGCGATCACCGCGATGTACCCTGAACATACCCTTAGAACTATGGGGCTCCGCCGAAGCGGTACCTTGAACGTGCAAGGCGCGCTGAATTGCACTTCACCAACCGTAACCCGCTTATGAAAATTGTAATTGCAACCCAAGAAACTGTTCAAAATAACAAAAAAAGGGGTAATAAATTGAGAGAAGTCAGCTTTAGGTTAAAAAGGTCATTTTCGAATGGTAAAAAACACCCTTGACTCTTATGATCGAAAGTAAAGGGGGCCCCGTAACTACATGATCGCCATACATATTGTTATAATTTGATACTTTTCTTTTTGTTGTTTTTTAAGACGTGACTGTGAATCAGGTGACACCGGTGCTTCCCGGCTCTCAGTCCATCCAAGAAGGTCGAGCGGAGAACGATCTGTCAGTCAACCTAGACGTGCTGTACGCCAACACCAGAGAGACAACCAGCGTCGCTGGCCAAGGCCTGTGGAAGTCCTCCATGTGGATGAGCAGTCAGGAGGATGGCGCGGTCCAGCTCCCCGGCACCCTGGTGGAGCAAGTCCTAACACAAGGTCAACAGTCCCAGGACCTCAAGAAACGAAGCTTTTTCTCCAGAAACTTCAACATCAACGACATCCGTTACCAGGTGGACATGTCGGATCTGACCTGCGACGAGGCCCGCTATCTCTGCGCCAAGTTCATGAAGGGGGACAACCCGGAGGTGCAGAAATCCTTTCTGGAATTCCACTTTGAGGCAAGGCCCAGTGAAGATGTGTTGACCGGATGCAGTCCAATTGAGGATTGCAAAGGTTTGTCAATCAACTTTTCAAATTTGTTACGTAGCTTACGTGGCTGCGTGACTTCTACTAATAAGGCATAAGCATGTCAAGGATATTGAGCACACGAATAGTTTCGAGCACAAGAAATATCTTATTTCGAGCGCACAAAATAATGGAAGGAAATTCAAAACGTCTTTTTGTATAAAGGAGACCAATTGTCTATCCTTTGTCTTCCGTACAGGTATTCCTACATCACTGAGCGGATCTAAGATAGCCGGTTTGCTGAGGATTGGGATGAAGGTCGTACGTGGATCAGACTGGAAGTGGGGTGGTCAGGTATACATCTGAATTTGGCTCATTTACTCTTGGGAGGGCGTTGTCACTCCGGGGGTGGGGGGTGGGGGGGGGGTGGGGAGAAGAAACATTTAAACAATTTTCAGAGACTCGACCCCGCAACGTGCAGCATTGTTATCACCGAACTAGCGTGCTACGCTAGGTCGGTGCCAAGCGATGCCAAGCTTTTTTTGCCGGGAAATCTAAACTACATAGAGTTATTTCAAATCACATGACAATTTTATTCAATCACGTGCTGTGTTTCCGCATGCGTATTATGGTGGGGGACTTTGCTCACCTGCAGACGATAATGTTCGCTCCGGGACAGGGCGATGGCTACACTTGTTATTGTGAGGGCGGTGTGTTTTGATTAATGTGTCAGAAAAAAAACTGCGTCGCCTCTTTCTCAGTTCTTGTTGTACAACAACAAGCCAGCTAAGTTCGGGTCTTTACCGACTGTGGACCCAGTGGCTTCAACTGACATTGCTGTTCGTAAAAATTCCCGGCTTATCTTTATGGATTTTATACTGTGGTTTGGTTCGGTTGGACTTGACCTTAATTTTGTTGAGGTCGGGTCGTTAAAGGAATGGCTAAGGCTTGGCCAGGGCCCGGTACATTATCCTCATGAAAAAAAATGTTTGGCTACGTATCCATTCCTGAGCCTACAATTGGAATCCATTTTACGCTACACGTGACGGGTATGGTAGCTAGGATGGTTTTATCTTTATGCTTCAGTAGGGCCTGCATATGATTGATCTTGGTTTACTGACGAATATATCGGTCACTTTGTTTAGCATTGTGTTATTAATTTTGTGGTTGACTGTATAGTTGGTCGACTTCACGAGCGGTGATCCGGGGAGACAGGTAGCATGCATCCCCTTTATATATTTTTTTGGGGGGAGGGGGCGCCAATGGCAAAGTTCCCACTAATTCATCCAAATGAACTACCCGTATTTTGTCACAATACTATTCTACTATAAGGCTACGATACCTTGCTCATCCAACTCCCATGTAACGTATTCTACGAGGAATTGACGTAAAATAAGTATTATGTTGACCAAAAGAAATAACCCGACTGGTGGTTAGACGTACCCGTTTTGAAGTATTAAACGTACATTATCTTGTGCTTATTGAGGCTTTGCTGTCGACTCAAATCACAACTCTCTTTATGTCAGGACGGTAGTCCGCCGGGAGAGGGCCGCATCGTCAGTGAACTACGGAGTAACGGCTGGATAACCGTACAATGGGACTCAACGGGGCGCAGAGACGCATACCGAATGGGAGCAGACGACAAGTACGACCTGAAGCTTGTTGACCCTGCGTCTCTGGATGGATCGGTTCGGTTGGCGAATGGCGATGACGAATTCCGCGGAGGGGCCATTCCACACGAAGGGAGTGGCCTGTGATGGGTCTGAGAGTCAACTGGCTGACTGCCCGTCTCGTTTCTTGAAGAAACGGGCTTGTAGCCACGCCAAAGATGTTGGCGCCATCTGTAGTCAGAAGTAAACTGTTCAGACGCAAGCATTTATTACGGTTTGAGATGATTTTATACTCAAGCAAAGGTAGTCGGAAAAAAATATTCAGCGAGCTAAAAGTGTAAAATTTATAGCCGTGTAACATTTCGTATTCCTTATACAGGGCGAGTCAAAAAGAAAGCGACCTGGATTAAATTTGATGCACCAATGAAGAATGTCATAAAGGGAATGTTCTTCCACTCATCTGAAAAAAATTGCTGAAATTGATCTGAGCAAGCAGAAACTATGCATTTTTTACCGAAAATATCCTTTTTATGGCTGTCCATGGAATACCAGTGGAAGCTATTGAGTTGAGTGAGAATTAAAGATTATGAACAGGCATTCATAAATACCTAAGACAGTTTACGCATTCCTATTGGTCGAGAGCCAGTCACGTGGCCGGTCTTAAACGGATGATAAAGACATGGCTAGCTGGTCTTAAACACTTTTCCAGTGTCACAATAAAATGTGGACTCCTAAAAATCCAGTGCCTCTTATCGTTTCATTGGTTGAACGTTCACAATCCTAACGTAGGCATGCGCAACAATATACCAGGGAGTCAGAATTTTATAGTTCTAAATTCAAAACGCAACGTGCCAGGTGCGTTCTGCGCGACATCGCGCAGAACATGATACGCGCGCGTCAATCTCCATAAAAGGGTTGTTTACATCTTACTCGCCAGCTGAACACTCCATTATTTTGCAAGAGGGATGTTTCAAAAAGCATAAAGTGAATTTGTTGAACAAAATCGGGATGTTTTGAACGAATTATATGATTTTTTTTTACCGAAAAGGTATTTATGAATGGGAATAAATATGTGCTCCGTCGGTATTTATCACTCTGTTTAAGACCACTTAGAGTCTGGGTGCTGATAATTACCCTCGCCTCCGGCTCGGGTAATTATCAGCACCCAGACTCTAAGTGGTCTTAAACAGAGTGATAAAAACCTCCGAAGCACACATTTATTCCCTTATTCAAATACATTTGAGATTTTAATCATTGAGTCAAGACTGACATTTTTGAATATGAGGAACAAGTCAAACCCACCCCCCCCCCCAAATATTGATGGCGATTTTTGTCTGTTTCCTTTGCAAGATTTCATTCGTAGATCATGAAGGTGGAAACGTCCATGTTTCACTGTTTTCATCAATTCGTAAAAACGGTAAATGATAAGGTGGACTACTTGACATAACTTTGGACTAAAGTTTGCAAATTACGTGAAAATTTCAGAGTTACTAAACAATAACATGTACTTTATCCCTATGTTATTTTTATGGAATGGAGCGAGCCACGTATTTTTTTTTTTAATATTTTGTTCTAATTCGGTCACTTTCTTTTTTTACCCGCCCTGTATATTGGACGTTTCGATGACTTATAAAATGGAATCACACAGTGCTATAAGTACTGTTTTAATAACTATTAGATTTATGGTACGCATTGCGCAATTTGTAACTAACGCTTTCTAGCTCAAATTAAAGCTTTAGAAATTTAACAGTTCCCGAACATTGTGTATTCTGCGAAATTTGATATCCGTCATTCTAAATGTTCGTTTTATTCCTTAAAGCCAAAAAAATAAGTCTCCGGTTTCTGGTATGCGCGCGCGTCGCCGTAGCCATGCGCGTCGGCAAAATGAAAAGGTTTTTTTTTCAATGAAAGATGATGTCTCGAAACCGCCAAACTCACTGGTTTGACTGGAATCCTGCTGCTGCACAGTTTTAACGTGTTTTTAGATGGGGTTATGATCAAGAATAAGCTTTATGTGGCCTCTCTGGACTCCCATATATTTGCACTAAGTTTAGTCGGGCACCATTTTGCAGTCATCAGCCGACATTTGAAGCAAAAAAAAAACAGGTTAAAAAAAAAGCCGCGTCGCCGCACCACTTTTTTGGGCAAGCTCCATAACAGAAACCGGATACTTTTTTTGGCCTAACACAGCGTTATTCTGTCAAAGACTTCATCAATTTTATTTTCCTCAAAATCGTTGGCCCAGGCGCGGTTCTACACGGGGGGGTGGGGGGGGGGGGGGGGGGGGGGGGGGGGGGGGGGGGGGGGCGGGGGCTAGGGGGGGCTGTAGCCCCCCAAAATTTTGTCTAGCCCCCAAAATAAATTCCGAAACGGTCTCCCCCTAAAGAACAAATAGCCATGACAAGGGTGCATTAGTTAATATAGTGTGAATGATTTTAGGATTTATTGGCGCTCCCCATTGAAAATATGGCAACCATCAAGGCGCAGTACATTCTCCTCTCAATTCGCGAACACTTCCAACAAATCTACGTATTAATTAAGGTAAATTTACAAGTTGTGTTAAACATAAAGACATGGCAAATAAACACTGCATTGACAAATGGTAGTTTTTTATATATCTGTAAAGTCTCTTTTTGGTTTATTTCGTAATCAGAAACATTTATTCGAAACAACTTGTGAGTACAAAAAAGTTCAAATAGGGTACAAACGACAAAAAAAAATTCAAAATAGGTCCACTGCCTTATCTGATGTGTCTGGTTTCATATGGTGTGAGTGTGACTTGATGTCGACTTTTTTTAAAGCGAAATTATAAGGCGAAGTCACTTTTTAAATAATTAGGAAAAACTTCTTTAATGGCTTAATTTAATTGAAACAAGTTCTTTGATCAAAACCCAGGATGGTTGAAAACCTTGTATTGTCATACAGTTCTATACGCTGAATTAAAGCATTTTTCTTGTGAAAAAGACCTTTTAAATTTACATTGAGGTCGGCTTTATCCTATTTTTAACGAAATATAGTACAAAGAAGGAGTCTGGATACAACTCGCATGGAAACAAAAACAAACCAACCATCCAATCAACCAACAAACAAACAAACACATACATACATACATACATACATAAAATAAATGAAAACAAATAAATCTCTATATACACATGCTATAGACCAATCAGGGCATGCTGTCAATTCTATCACGAAGGCCCCCTTCAATGGCGAAAGCATTGTGTTAGCTATTGTTCAGATAATCCGAAATGGGGAATTAGCATTGCGCAATAGCTTGCACAATGCTTTCGACATTGAAGGGGGCCTCGTGTACAGTGATCACGTGCCCTGATTCGTCTATGCCTTAGCAGATAATGAATGAAAGTTTACACAATTTGGAATGTAATGCGAATTATTGGGCAAGCTATACTATAGGTTTTCCCGGCTATTTTGAAACATTTTTCATTCAAATTCACAAACTGTAACATTCAGTTTTGTCTGAGAACAAAATTCACACGCTTTTACCAAAGCGATTTAGTCACTTACCATTCAATTCCAAAGTTCGGTCACCACATTTAAACACACTGTGGCAGTATTCAGAGAATGGCAGTATTCAGAGATTAAATTCGTCTTATGCCAATCAATTTAAAATTGCTAAATTAGTCTGGCGTGGGTTATTTACCATGTTCCTTGTGCCCGAGGTCCATACAACAAAGTTTCTAACCAGGACAGGATACGAATTAATCCTTTGAATATGATGCCGTGGACTACGTCCAAGTGGCTGCAACTTTGGGCATTAAAAGAGTGAAAAAATAAAGATGACCATGTGAAAAAAACAGTCGATGACCCTTATTTTACTTTGTTACATTGTACCTACGAGTCAATGACATTTCTTTTTCAAGGAAAATCGATTAAAAACAAGCAACATTTGTGAGTAACAGGAAAAGTAAAAGAAAAAAAATGTTGCGAAATTGAACAAACTTTAAATTGTGTGGCAAAAGACGAATTTGATTTCTGAATAAAACTGTTCGGCGTAGACGAGACGAAATCAAATACTCCTCGCCGAAAATGGGCGTTGGCGGATTGAATTCGATTGAACAACAATGGAAATGGTATGACAAAAGACGAAATTAAACATTGGAAGTATTTACTAAATCGATGTTGAATGACGAACTGGAATATTAAAAACGGTGAATACGAATGATACAAGTTTTAAAATAGCCGGGAAAACCACTATTAGTTTACCTGTTCTATGTTTACCTATTTGTAGCCTAGTGGTATTGTTTGTGTGCAAACCATGATTATATATACATTGTACTCTGCGATTAGGATATCATCACTGCTCTAATAAAGCTGTTTTCTCTGTTGCTCATGACTGTTTTGGTGTTGGTGTGTGTATATTGATCACTTACATTGCTAAATTTTAAAGGATAAACTGTATTAGTGCATTACTATTTACAGCAGCTGCAATTAAGTTTGTGCAATACGGACGTAGTGAGGGCAATGCAGAAAGGGGGTATACCTCGCCGTAGATTGGAATGTGCCCCTTTAATAGCTGATCCCCAGGTCCGCTTTTGCTTTGTTAAATCGTGACTTGGATACTGCAATTTTATTAATCTAGAACGGTCACGTGTCAAGTTTCTACAATACATTGTATTTAAATACACATAATTCAACACCACTCAAATACCGTCTGGCACAATATTCGTGTCCAAAAGGTATAGTGCAGTAATCAAAAAATAAAAATAACGACGATTAATTTCTTATACAGTAACTAACACCTTTCAATAGCTATTTGGCTTATGGCACAATATAACAATGTGATGTGAGACGTAGCCTTGGTCAAGGTGCTAGTTGTTATTCATCCCGGCCGTAGCGCGGTAAACGATATCCTCGATAGCGCTATGCATGCGGTGCATTAAAAATACAGCGCGAACAGCGACCTCACGCGGCCACCATTTCTATGCAAATCAGTTGGACCCAATCTAGCGCCTTGGTTCAATGGTCGGCAAAAGCTTATGTTTTTCTTTATTTTGCGCTGGATTTCTAGCGCACGACCTCGTATGCGAATACAGATAAGTGTAGGCGGGGCTAATATGTGGAGTGTCCAATCACACCTTGGTAAATCCGGACGTCATCAAATTATTTGCAGCTATTCGCCTTTTGCGGACGTGACAGGAACCACACTTTTTGTGCATTGGTGCCGTGTGCAGAGACACACAACGTGTACGTGTATGGACTATGTACGGTGCCACGTTTCACTATGCAAGTTTCCACGCAACGATCGACCAATAAGAAAACGACATTTAAGGTCAGCTAAGGGTATTAACATAATGAGCACCACCCCCAAAACCTCACATGGACGATTGAACCAAGGCGCTAGATTGGGTCCAACTGATTTGCATAAAAATAGTGGCCGCGTGAGGTCGCTGTTCGCGCTGTATTATTAATGCACTGCATGCATCATTATGACTGCATGCATAGCACTAGCGAAGATATCGTTTACCGCGTTACGGCCGGATGAATAACAACTAGCGCCTTGACCAAGGCTATGTGAGACGTTAATTTGTTACTAATGTTTTACTTAAAGGGAAGATACAACATTTGCAAACATCACAAAACGAAATGATCGAATTATCACGAAATACCTTACTGGATTGTTAGGGAATGACAGTCTAAAACATTCTGTAAAATCGTGGCTCCTAGTGTGCTGTCATTTTCAAGAAAAAATGGGATTTTTCCAACACTGGTCGGCCGACCAGCGTTGGAGAAAACTGTTTTTTTTTTCAAAAAGTGCTTTTATTTTTTCATAATTAGTTATTCCGCGTTTTCTTTGCAATTGATTACACACCTGTGAAGGGGTACAAGCCTGCTAGACTGATTCTCTGACCTTACAATTCCGCAAAGGTTATACATTGCTCTGTTTCATCTTAAGTGGGGTCAGGGAACCCGACTACAAGAACATGATTGGTTGTCTTGGTTTTTCCAGCATCTACAAGCCCAAATCGTGAAACAAGTCATTTTAACAATATTTGCTATAACATACTAATCCTCCAAATCCATTTATTTCTGAAACCTGCAGCAAAAGCAAATGTTGTACATTCCCTTTAATTTGGCACTGAAACGTAATATCCTCATGGGCGTAAATCCCGCGGGGATGGGCGGATCCATCCCAACACTTTCTGACCGGGGGTGGGGAATTGGTTCCGCCCCCCTCCCGTTTTGAAGGTGAGAAACCCAAAAATCTTCCCAACTGTCCAAATTAATAAAACAGTATTGAAAAGAAACCACGGAGAATAAGTTGAATGCCCAGCTTTGAAGGTTAACAACCCCCTTAGGCCCCCTTTTTGCTAGGAACCATCCTCATTCTTCCAAAATACTTCAAAATGTTGCACTTGTGTTTAAATGAAGGATACCCAGCGCCTCTATCCTTCCCAACACGTCAGACAGTCCTGCCTCTCAAAATGCATTCATCCTAAATACTCCTCAATATTCCAATATTCATCTTCTTCAAACACCATTCATCCTCAATCCTCATTTGCTTCAGCACCATTCATCCTCAATTCTCCAAAATCCTAATTTTTCTCAAGCACCATTCATCCTCAATCCTCCAAAATCCTCCAAAACCGGGGGATTTTTGAAGATTAAGGCTGGTTACGGTTTAAGGGACGTATAAACGTATGTTTCCATTACATGTATTTTGTATCGTGAACAGCACCCCTATGTAATATCGTGTCACCCCCCCCCCAAAAAAAATCCCATTTTGAATTCACACGACCGGGCAATTTTAGGATTTTGCCGCATGGTCATCCCCCATCCGCCACACTCTCCGGCATGGATTTACGCCACTGATATGTCCTACTTCATAGTACGAGTTCTCCTTGGCCACAGCTTTGGTCTTGAGCGCGGGAATATCGGCGTAGTAGTTGTTTGCTTTCTCCCCGTCCCCATCCAAGGCAACGAAGAAAGCCTTCTCGGCACCGGCAGTGGCAGACCCACAGTGGTCAGGCTGCTAGGGTCATGAAACACTCTTAAATTGAAGATAAGTTGACGTTGGCCGTGTGTTATGCGGGAAAGGGGGGGGGGTTTAAATCCCGGAGAGGGATAACTGAGGCCGGGCATAAAATGCCCGGCTCCTCCATCCGCCCACCTCCACCCCGCACACCGATTTTTCTTAGCCAAACAAAAATAATGTCAACCACAATTGGCACCTCATTATCAGGCACACTTAAATAAAAGTGATGAAAATTAAAAGGGCAACCTGATGGGAATGGAAATGTGTTGTTTAATAAAAAGCGCCAGCTCAGTAAATGTAGTTTTCAATTGGTGCATGCACTTTCCCTTTCAGTTCGATTTTATTACGTCCTAAAATGTGAATGGTGTGTTGTCACCTTGTGTTTGCCTGTATTTGTTAAAAATTTATTTCAGAGCAATTGGCTCATTACGGGGCGGGCTAAAACAAAACTGGGGCGGGGGGGGGGGGAGGTGTCCCCTCGTCCATGATTTCGCTGACTATAATGATAGTAGAATTTCATCGCATTTAGTTGAGTATAACATTTGTTGAGAGTTTATTTCTAATGAGAATTCTTTGTAACGATTTTCCCCCTCCAATTGTCAACAACCGTTGAACATGGACACCCCCCCCCCCTCCCCGACACTCACGACACCTGTTTGCAGGGCGGGGCCGCGCCGGGGGGGGGGGACGAGCGAACTCCCCGTACCCCGGCCCCCGAAAGATATTGTGCAGGGAAAAGAAAACGAGTGCCGAGTGCAGTGGGAGTTAACTATAATGGAAACCTGAAGCCTTGTTAGGGCCCATCCCAAATCTTTTCAATTTTTTTTTATTATTTCGTGGTAAACGCGTTTTTCAAAAGGAGACCTCCTTTAATTTTATTTAATTATAAATAGCGAGTGAAGTTCTTACAGGAGGTGTTATTGAGGGCGCTGTTCACTGACCCAATAACACAACAGAGTTTGCCTTTTGACATTTCGGTGAGCTGAACGAAAAAAATGGCGACAGAAATTGGACAGACAGACTGCAGATGCCACCTTATTTCTACGCCAGAAGAGAAAGAGGCTGATTAGGCGGGAGAGAGCAAAAATCGACCAGTTACAACAAGATAAGAACAAGGTAACGTAATGCGTAGACGACCGTAGTTCATTCGCCACAATAAACAACATTGGTTTGATCATTGATGCGCTGAAAGTGAAACTGATTCTTTCAGGTTAATTTTTTTGTGTGGGAAACAATGTAACACAAGTAACAGTTAGACCCATCTGATCTCGACGCTACTTTTGTGGTCGTGCACATAGTATAGGTGGGGGGGGGGTGGATATTTTCTGACCAATGGAAAATTTGTTTCTCAATCTCAGTCCAAAATTCTTTTTTATTAGGCCAGTCAACATTGATTTTTAGGTTTTCAGCACTCAGTATTGAAACAAAATTTCCGTACTGGATCACCACTTTTTTCAATTAATTTTCAAATGCCAAAAGTTGCATCTTTTATGGCTATTTCCTCCACTTTTCCCTCCTCTACTCTCATCCTCTCCTTTCCTTTATTCTGATTTATTAATCAGTCACTTACTTCATCGAGATTGGAACCTCGGACTCTTGCTTGAAACACGAGACTTTTAACCGCTAGGCCGCGCACGATCGCTATTGCAATGATCAATCTTTGGACGTATTTGAAGTATCCATTGAAATAAACTAAATATTCATGAGAAAATAAATATTCATTATGACGTATTGCACTATCATTGGCCGGCTCATGCGTTGTCATGGTTGTCGATGTCATGCGTATAACGCATCGCTGTCTTCCAGACACTTCAATCACTTCAAAGTTTTGACCCGCTGCTTCAACTGCACGACGTGTGCATCCAAAATGTGCTCTAAAAACACATTTTTCCTAAAAAAAAATCGCATCCTTTGTTTGTTTTTCGTTGCCGCTATCTTGAGTGGCCTGTGACCTTCTGGTTGGCGATCCCATTAACAAAACAAGAAATGAAAATTAGGGTAGGCATGATATCCATTATATTTATTAGCCTACTGTTCGTGTCATACAAGATGCCAATTCTTCGACGAATCGTTCTAGAAAAATTCCAAGGATCATATACGTTTCCCGTAGGTTGTTCTGTCGAGTGTTATTAAATCCTCAAGTGGTCCTAAATAATTGTGCAAATGTCACATCTCTTCGGATCCTATAGGAACCTGTAGAAGATGTAAACAAACTATAAGAATCCTACAGGATTCCTTTACGATTTTCCTTTTCCTACCTCCCTGGATTCCTGCACCAACACCATCAATTTAAACGACAAGTTCTGTCCCTGTTTTATTCAAAGGCTTCTTGAGAAAAACCCTGCCATCAAGAACCTCTTCCCATTCGGCAAGCTCAACTTGTCCCCCGAGAAACTAAAGGACAACGCGGACCTGCGTGCCCACGGCAAGAATGTCATGGAGACGATTGGCACGGCAGTGGAGACGCTGGACAACCCGGGAAAACTGGTACCTTTCCTGAAAGATCTCGGAGCGAGGCACAATGCTTATGGCACCAAACCGGAACACTTTAAGGTACCATACACTGAGACTAACAACCATCAATAAAGAAACATCCTTGGACACCTTCAGACTTCTCCAACGACTAAAATGAGAAGCCATTACTGAGGGGCACGACGCTAATATTGGCAGGCGATACGCGCGCACTCACAGCTCCTCGACCAATAGGGTTTTTCCAACTAGGCTACACGCGCCCTTCAAATCATGTTAAGAACACGTGTGATGTGAGGCGAACACGTGGCATTAGCGTGGTAATGCCGATCAATTAGTCTATTTGCGAATAAATTAAGTGAGGTTACTCTTCCCCCCCCCCAAAAAAAATATTCAAAAATACATTAAAAAGACCGGTAACGACATCTTACCCTGAAAATGTATGCTATTATCATCTCAGATTCGTCGCTGAAGCTTTTCCCAATGCTTATTGTCTTTTTTAAGGCTGTCAAAAATCAACGTGCGAAATCATGAATGCATATCAACATCATCAATGCTTATGACGAACTCATTGAAATGCCCCCTTTTTTCCCAAGAACACATTCAATGAGTACTTGTAAAAATGTTGCAGAACTCGCGAAGTGGAAGATTTTGGTCCACATTTTCTGGCACAACTATGAGTCTCATTTTCATTTACATCCAACTGTTTCTCGGGTATGATTCCCAATTTAAAAGTATGTGCGAGTTCCAACAATCACTTGTTTATTTTGTCAGCCTCTTGCGGAAGCCTTAATCTTTACCCTGAAGGATGGTCTACCGCCGAAGGTGTTCACTGCAGAGGTGCAAGGAGCCTGGGAGAATGCCTTGAAAGTGGTTGCAGAACTCATGAGTGAAGCGATGAGGTATAATAACTATAGAACCTATCAAAAAGACAACAGTGTTGAAGTCGAGTACTTGCGATGGATCATTAAGTACATTACATGTCCGCTCACAATTAATCGCACGTCAATTCACAGCTGTCCAATTCAAAGTATAGTAACGCAAGATGAACAATACAAAAGCGAAGGAATGCCTTTGTTACAGTTCATTTGTGCAGCCTGTGGCTTGACTTGCCTCCATTCAAACATTATTTTTGTGTTTGTCTTTAATGGTTTGCAAAAAAATGCAAACTTCTCAATAACGCCGGAGTAAGCGTGTTCACGATTTAACATTCTATGGTGTATACACAAAAGGTTACCGTCTTGTTGTTGGAATGCAAAATACACTTCCAGTGACAGAAAAGTGACGTATTCGTCATAAACCACATTTCATGTTGTTCGATTAAAGGAATGTTATTGCCCCTTGGAGTTCCCAAGTCAGAGTACGTGAGTCTTATTTCACCTATTTTCTTGCACTTTTTTAATTTCCATATTGAAATGAGCACGTCATAGACTATTCAAACGGAAGATCGCGATAGCCTGAAATATTTTCCACCCTTTGCCATTCCACCAGTTGCCTGCAATGTACCTGCTGCTAAGTCGGATAAGCTGAACTCTTCAAGGTTTGAATTTGAGGACTTGTGAAAATTGGTTATTGGAAATATCGCTAATTGTTAATCTTGCTTACTGCAGGAGCGATGATGCTGATGTTGGACCGATGTCTCAAAGAGACAAACGGCTCGTTCGTGAGTGCTGGAAGGTCATACAGAAAGACATGGTCAACTTGGGTGCAGCCCTCTTTGTAAGGTAAGCACACTTCAGTTACAGAGGAGCTTAATGCTGGGTCTTTACTTAGGTCAATCATACACTTGGATACCGATAAGTAAAACCTAAAGGACTGCTGCGAAAGTGTCCGAAGTCCTGATGTTCTATAGGCAGCTGGTCAACCCTACACCTTATCAGCTTATATACTGTGTCATCTTCTTGGCAAAAAACCTTCTTTTTAAAAGGTTTACAGTGATGTCCTAAAATTTTTGTTATCAGATTGTTGGAAAAGAGCCCTCCCATTCAGAACCTCTTCACCTTCGGTAAGCTCAACCTGTCAGCGGAGAAGCTGAAACGAAACAAGGATCTGAGATCCCACGGACAGCGAGTCATGAGTACCATCGGTGCGGTGGTCATGGGTCTGGATGACCCAGACATCATCGCTACCATCTTGGAAGACCTTGGAGCCAGACACCAGATGTACGGGGCCAAACCCGAGCACTTTCCGGTAAGAGTCTTGGACTTGTTACGTTTATTATTGAAGATTCACTCCTACAGTCGGAAACTAGGGACTAGGCGTTTTAGAATGAAATTTGTTCAATCGTAAAGATCGAGTTTTCACTCGAGCTTCAACTAAAGTGGTTCTTTTTCAGACTATTTCAATCGAAAATGAGAGTGATTTTCATTCTAAAACGTCTAGTCCCTAATTTCACTCTTTAGAATTTAGAGATGTATATGCTAATATTTTCATACTTGACATATCGTTTTGGTACCTAAAACATCATTCGTTAACATATAGTTTATACAGATAATTGAGTAATCTATCACTTTTTGCAGATTTAGTCGCGTCCATCACAAATCAAATCACAGTTCAATCGCAAGTTGGGTCACAAGTAACAGGGGTTGAACAATGACAAAATGATACATTTGTCTCAGTTTTTTTGTTAATGACTCGTGAGTAACATGAGATGACTTGACCTCCACCTTGATTTTTTTTGGGTGTGGTTGTGTTTTTATTGTAAATAAAGATGCCGCAAAACAAAAGTCTATCCAGAAGACCGTTCATTTTGACTAACCATCGGGGATATTCTCTTTCGAACTGAAGGCACTGGTGGAGGCGCTCATGCATTCCCTGAAGAACGGTCTGCCGCCCAAGCTGTTTACCCCTGAGGCTCAAGAGGCTTGGCAGAACCTGATGAAGATGGTGGCTACGTCCATGAGCAAAACAATGAGGTATGACCTCAGGAACCACTCAGAGGCCAATTTTCAGTGGCTCTTCCTCGGCACAGAAATTTGCTAAGAACAGATTGTGATTTTGCTTAGCACAACTAGGTTACCATGCAAAAAGCCACAGATGTGTATTGCGTTTGACTGGCTCTAAGTTAGCATTTCTAAATTTGCTAATCAGCATCTTCTTTTTCGCAGTTCAATGAAATTGTCCCCTGGTCTCCATAATAGTCGAGTAAACATTGGAACCATGAAGTCGATATAAGGGTGAGAGTCGACTCAAAGTTGGTGACTGATGATCAACAAAACCGTTATAGCTTACAATATCCGGATTAATAGGTGCCAAAGGTTCAAACTTTGGATCTTAACAAAATGAGAAAATATTTCACATGCACAATTTAATTGCCGTCAATAATTAGGCCGATGGTAAGCCTTTGCCGTCTCTAAATCTCCTTGAGCTATTTTTTTCCCAGGAAACGCGCCCGCCGGCCAGGGTATGCATTAACGGGTAGTACAGGAACCGGGCACCCTATTGAAGTAAAACACGGGTACCGGGGTTCCCGTGAAAGAGACCCAACCCCAAAATTCAAATCCCGGAAGTTCTCCGATGGGCTTAGCTTTACGGTGAAAACTGCAACTTTCACCAGCGTTATCTGTTGCCCGTTAAAATGCACATAAACGTAAAATCTGTTTTGGTTTTCCAGATGGCCTGATTTTCATTTTGAAAATTCCTCACAAATGGCATTTACAACTTTTCTTTTCACTGTCTTAGAAGTTACTAAGCTATTTGTAAAGTTGGTTACGGGTACCCGATCCCATAATCTGGAACCGGTTCCTGACATCAGCGGTCGGGTGCTCGGGTACCCGGTTCTGATGCACACCCTGTATAGTTAGTTCCCTTAATTTGTCGCTGACCTGTATGCATTGTCAGACAGTTCTTGGTTTTCCCATTGGACCGATCCAGTAAGCACCGCCCCATGGTGTTCTGACCAATCACAACCTTGATTTATGTCCGATGTGCGTGCACAAAAGTTCGACATGCGTGCACGCGCGTATGATGCGCGCGGCAGGAAAATGCAGCGTGGCATTGGAGAGGAGCACGTGTTAATTTGCCCACGTGCGCAGTGGGTGGGGCTTACTGGATCGGTCCATTGTCAACCGGTTTGGCTTACTGCTTATGAAATAGTTCTTACACATACTGAGTTCAGATGAAATAAATACAGCCAAACCGAGGACAGCCGGCCGAGTTTCAAAGTTGACCCAAACCGGGTACTCAAAACTACACTCACTGACGACAGAAATTGGCATGAATGTGTGTGCCGCCTTAATTGTGTTTCAAGCTAAATCAAATACTAAAAGTGATTTTGTTTTCGCCAAAATTAATTGAACAGGAGCGGCAGTAGCGAAGATGAGGGGCCGATTTCTTCCAAAAACAAGCGCCTGGTCCAGGCTAGCTGGAAGATCATGGAAAAAGACGCAGTTAACCTGGGAGCAGTCCTTTTTGCCAGGTGACAATGTTTTTTTAAGCCTCCTAGTTGACAGAGGGTTGACAGTGATCTATAAATCAGAAGGACATTAATGAAAATTGTTCGTACAAACGTTCTTATTTAAAATCTTTGAGTATTGGTTTGGATAATCTATGCATCACGAATTCCACGATGAAATTCCTTAATGTCGAAGTGTTTTTTTTTTTTCGTATTCATTATGAAAGACTTTTGGAGAAGAATCCTTCCATTCAGAAACTCTTTCCCTTTGGCAAGCTGAACCTACCGCCGGACAAGCTGAGGCAGAACCCGGACCTGCGAGCCCATGGCAAGGGGGTCATGGAGACGATTGGAATTCTGGTTGCCAGTCTCGACGATCTTAAGGACATTGTTCCTACGTTAAAAGAACTCGGCGCCAGGCATAACAGTTACGGCGCCAAACCAGAACACTTCCCTGTAAGTTTTGTTTTTCGAGTAATATTACATATTGGGACAGGGTTTGACGGCTTCCTTTGGATCTCTCACTATTAGACGCCTTAGCTATGTCTTTGAGACTTCTCTACAGGTACTATCATGGGATGTGCGCAGGTTCAAACTCTGCACTTCTCGTTCCTCCATCGCGTACCTTAACCAACTTTACCCACTCTACTCGCAGTTTGCTCTCATCCATATACCGTTTTTGTCATCCAAGCCCTGGTACAATGAAGTACTCTTCAAGTTGCTTTTCTCGTACCGTCTCACTGTGGATCTCCTCACTTTTTTTCCTTTTGGTTTCAGGCCTTGGTTGAAGCTTTCATGTTTTCCATGAAGACTCGAGTTTCGGCAGAGGTGTTCACGGCTGAGGTGCAAGAGGCATGGAGGAACGTCTTGAAGGTTGTGGATGTTACCATGAGCACCTCTATGAGGTAACCTCTCAACTCTCAGCTTTGATAGATCAATAAATCAGTACAGATGTTCTATAGTGTAATACACTCGCATAATATGCATTTGACTTCTCCTGATGTCATCTGCACGTCTTGAAGGTGTTAAATCATGTTAGGCTGGTGAGTCGATCTGCAAAATGCACTGAGAATAATTAATTCAACGGATTCTTGCCAATTCAAAGCCTATACATCTTTGTATTAGTCTTATTCCTTTTGTGTCCTCTTTTGATTGGTTCCTTCCTTCGCAGCAGCCATTCGAACGGTGCATCAGATGTAACGATATCTCCCAAAGACAAGCAGCTGGCACAGGGGAGCTGGAAGTTCATTCAAAAAGACTTGGTCAACTTGGGCGCCAGTATGTTTGTAAGGTTGGTAGACTATTTTTTTCTCATAACAATGAAGTATGAAAAAAACACCTAGGAACGTCTATGAAAAAGACACAAAGGAACGCACGGTTTGGGGAGTCAGGGTGGCGCAGTGACGGTTTCTTTCTTCGCCTCCCAGATCCACCTCTATGTGGCCTGGGTTCGATTCCTGCCCGGACCTTATGTGGATCGGGTTTTCAGTCCCTACCAGATTCTGGGGGTTTTCCCTGAACATTCTTCTCGGGGTGTCCTCCTACCTGTAAAACTATCAATTCTTTTCATAGTCTCCTGTATACAGGTTTCCTCAGGCTTTCGAGCTACAGTGCCTGGGGCACTTTTGAGGAAACATTGGCTTCATTACCAGAAAGAAATAAAACACACAAACACACAAACAAATACCCCAACAACCCAACAAACAAAGCATAATATTATTTACGAATGCATTCTTCAAATTAAATCTGTAAATTTTATTCGAAGGTGTACAATCGAATGGCTTTTTAATAGTCGCATGCATGTTGTCAGGAGATTTTACCTCCACACGGGGAATTTATTCATCTTTGGCTGTCTTTTTCGTCATTCAGGCTTCTGGAAAAGAATCCAGGCATACGGAAAACTTTCAGCTTCGGTAGGCTCAACTTACCGCCGGACAAGCTGAGGCAAAACCCGGACCTGCGAGCGCATGGCAAGGGGGTCATGTTGACGTTTGGGACTTTGGTGTCAGGAGCCGACGACCTGGGGAAAATCATTCCTATGATGGAAGACCTCGGGGCTAGGCATAAGACCTACGGCGCCAAACCTGCGCACTTCCCGGTAGGAATGCCCAGTTAACAAAAAAATTTTTTGTGTGTTAATGGAATTTGCTTATTAGTATTACAAGGCTGAAAGTCACTCAATGGAAAGGGCTACTATAAAACAAGGAACAGAGACGGGCACAAGGGTCGCTTGGCCCTGGCCTGTACACCAAACAGTCCTAAAGATACGTGCTAAATAAGGCTACATTAATTGTCCTTATCTGAAAACATCTACAAGGCCTAAAGGGTCTCTTGACAGATCATGTTCAATAAAGAACCCCTTGGCCACAGGGTGATCAGCAAAGATGTCGTTATACCTTTACCTTCCCTGTTGATGATTTTTCACAATCTAAATGGACATCACCGTTTGGGTTTCAGGCTATCGTTGAGGCGTTCATGTACTCCTTGAAGAAAGGTCTGTCACCCAAGATATTTACGCCTGACGTTCAAGAGGCATGGAGGAACATCTTGAGTGTGGTAGCTGTTACAATGGGCAGCACTATGAGGTATGCTTCCTCCGCCACCTACATTATTCGTTACACCTTTTCAAATCATTTCCTCCATTCCCAGTGGTGCTTGTAATGGCGCTTCATACCAATGCCTCAAAGCGCTCCGCAATAGATATTTGTTGTTACCCCTGTTCATAGAGTTGATGAAAAATAGAGGGCTACTGAAGAGTTCATAACCTATTTCCAGTGTCGTAGACGAGACCTTTTATGGGACCTCAAACACTTGTTCATAATAGAACATTAGATTCGATTTAAGTGCAACGTGAATTGAATAAAAAACTTTTTAAGCTTTCACTTTAGGCATAAAATAAATAATGATGGATTGTTTAAGTGTTAAATTAAGATCTTAACCTGTTATTTGATTGAAGGCTGTGAAAGGTCAATGAATATTGATAGTAGTAGTTTTCCTTCGACAAATAATGACAATTTTACTTAACTTTAAAAAAAAAAATAAAACAATCGAAACATACGCGGTCGGGAAAGGTCTTTTGAAAGGTGTCTTCTACATCAGTGCAAGTTTCATGATAGCTTCCTGTCATGTTTAATTTATCTTGTGTCACTCGTTATTCCTTTGCAGTAGCGATGAATCTGGAGTGTCAGAAGAGGAATCAACGGCATCTCCGATATCTCCCAAAGACAAGCAGTTGGTCCAGAATAGCTGGAAGTTCGTTCAAAAAGACTTGGTCAACTTGGGCGCAGTTATGTTCGTAAGGTAAAGTCCCCTGATCGTCTGTTCAAGAAGACACAGTCTTTTTAATCGACCTGCTCAAAAGAACATCCCGGATAAATTGTCAAAATATCCCAAAGGGATAATAAAAGCAACTTTTAAAAGACTAAGACCCATGCACTTTAAAGCAAGTAAAAACATCATCATACACCAAAAAATCTTGCTTTTCAATGACATTCTCGGGAATGCATGTAGCCCAAAACGAAACATCCAAGCTGCATTCAACTTGACCTAAGCTCGATAAGAATTGGAACCCTTTCCATCTATAGAGCATCTCTGATGATAACTGTCCATAAATTAATTAATTCAATATCAAGACCGGCATGCCTGTTCGCTTTTCTAAAAGGCTTCTGGAGAAGAACCCTTCCGTGCAGAATCTCTTCTCCTTTGGCAAGTTGAACCTGCCGCCCGAGAAACTGAAACAGAACCCGGACCTGCGCGCCCACGGCAAGGGGGTCATGGAGACGATCGGCACGGCAGTTGCTGGGCTAGATGACTTGGGGAGGATAGTTCCTATCCTAGAGGAAGTCGGAGCTAGACACAAGATTTACGGCGCCAGACCTGAACATTTCCCAGTAAGTTATGTTCCCAGATATTTTTTTCACACTCTAAAAAGTTCCGGGTCATATATTGACTTGATTCTTTTCTTGGTCAAAAATTACACCTTTTCGGGTCAAACTGACACTTTTTATGGTCAAAATTACACTTCACTGTATCATTTTCCGGGTTATTTTGGCTTTGAAGTATCAGGTTGATAACAAAGATAAGGGGGGGGGGGTACCTGAAGATGGACTGGATACAGATGTTCTCAAGGATGGTATACATTTGGTTTGTTTTCATTGCAGGCTGTTGTTGAGGCATTAATGTATTCCCTCAAACAAGGTCTGTCACCAAATGTCTTCACGTCTGAAACGCAGGAGGCGTGGCGGAACATCTTGAAGGTGGTTGATGTGACGATGAGTCGAACTATGAGGTAGTAACATTTTTATTATTTTTTTTAAATTGTTTTTTAACGTAAGGTTATATACAGATGCTTGTACATAAGCGCCTCTATATGAGGTTTATAGTCAAAAACAGAATAAAGAGAAATCGTAGGCCTAAAGGAAATTATTTAATTTTGTCAAAACGTACTGGTCAGATTGGTTGTTGAACAGGAATTATCAGAAACTGCCTTCTACCCAGTTCGAAATATGGCAATGTGTATCTTTTGGCAAAATGGGAGTCCCATATTTTCATCGTGATAAGACAAATGAGTTATTTTATGTTCCAATAATCATTATACAACAGACTGGATGAGAACGGAAATTCAGAGGAGGGGCTGATATCTCTGAGAGACAAGCGTCTGGTTCAGAAAAGCTGGAAGGTCATGCAAAAAGATTCCGTCAACTTGGGCGCCGCACTTTTTGCCAGGTTGGTTATCTGATTTTCTTTTTTTCATTTCTATTTTTGTTTTAATCAACCAGGCCGGGTCTGCTGCCAACCATGAATGATGTTGTTGCTGAGTCTATTTATTTTTAATAATAAAATGACAAATAAGATTTAAATTTCCACTTTCTACGGGCGTTTCCAAGCGCTCTCTTCACGGTGTGTGTGCCATTTGACACAAACAACGTTTTGACTCAAAAGAGTGTCATTATGACACGGAGGATTGTCATTTTGACATGGAAGAGTGTCATTATGACACGGAGGATTGTCATTTTGACATGGAAGAGTGTCATTATGACACGTAGGTTTGTCATTTTGACATGGAAGAGTGTCATTATGACACGGAGGATTGTCATTTTGACCTGGAAGAGTGTCGGGGCAAATCTGGCCGGATTCAGAGTCGAATCTGACCCGGAACTTTATAGGGTGTGTAGCTGACTGAAAGGTTCCAATGTTTTCTTTGAATGTCCAAGGTTTCTGGATAGGAACCCATCCATTAGGGAACTCTTCCCCTTCGGGAAGTCGTCAGTTCCTCCCCAGATGCTGAAACACAACTCGGACCTGCGAGCTCACGGCAAGGGGGTCATGGAGACGATCGGCACGGCAGTTGATGGTCTGGATGACCTGGGGAAGATAGTTCCCATCCTGAAGGACCTTGGGACTAGACACAATGTCTACGGCGCCAAGCCTGAACACTTCCAGGTAGAAAACAGAACCAACCAACCGACAAACAATAACTTTAACTGTTTAGGTGCAAACAGATTCCAATCCCGGGTTGCTGATGTAACTTTACATGTTGCTGTTATTCAAAATGACATTTTTATTATCTCTGATTTTAAGATAGGATAAACGTTGTTAAAAGCAGGTGGTATTCCCACTGTCTATACCCAGCAAAATGGCACCATTCTAGCGCCCTCATTCGTTAAAAAACGAGCGAAGGTAAAATCTTTCACAAATAGATGTGAAGAAAGGAACAAATCAAACTCACAAACAACAAACGGAGGAAAACGATCCGACCTTAAGTAACTGTCGTTTTTCAGAGTATGAGACAGCCAAGTGCACGAATATATAGACAATCGTATATAGACATTCCCTTGGTCACACTAGGCAATACAGGGTGAGTAAAAAAAAAAAAACCCAAATGGCAGGACCATTTTTTAAATGAAATTCAGCATGTAGCACTTTCAAGATCTAGGATATGAAAGCAATTAATCAGCTTTTTTTTTAGTACAAAAATCATTCAAATCACTCGTGTACTTTTTAAGTTACGGAATTTTAAACAAACACCGTTTTAAAGTTCTGTCCACGGATCACAAAAAAAGAAAGTGTTCTTTTAGCAAAACGAAAATGATTCACACACATCCCTATGTGAATTGGGATTGTGTTTTAAATTGAAAAGTACAGGAGTGATTTGAATGATTCTTGTGCTGAAAGAAAGCTTTTTAATTGGGCTTTCATATCCCAGATTTTGAAAGTGCTACATGCATGCAAAACTTTATTAAAGGAAAGGATTGGTCCTGCCATTTGGGTTTCCTTTTTTGACTCGCCCTGTACAAGTGAAATCGGTAACGCAGACTCAAAACAAAGGTGAACAAAAAATCACACAGAAGTCATCAAAATGGCAAAAAAAGTGCGATTGGAATTTTTTGTTTGGTCCTTATTCGGCAACGCGATGGCCACATAAAAACCATGATCATATCAGAAACGTCAGTTCTATGTGGTGTATAACAAAAGAGCGGTTCTAAATTAGCACGGTGTGGTATCTATATTGCACCTGTGGTTATAGTCTGGTTCAATATAGGTACCACAAGGTGCACATTACAGAACCATGGTTTTACAGAGTGGTCTGGTATCCAGAATACATTGCCATTATCCATCCTGGTATATTGTCTTTATTTTGATGCAGCCCCTAGTGGACGCCTTCATGTATACCATGAGAAATGGCCTGTCATCCAAGGAGTTCACACCAGACGTCCAAGACGCGTGGGAAAACATTTGGAAGGTGCTGGCTGAAGTTATGAGCAACGGCATGGAGTAGAATCTAACTGCAGATTTTTATGCGATCACTTTAAAATGTGATATAACCTTATTTTTGAGACGGCCATATTAAATTGAAAGCAAGGTAGAATCGTCATTTTTGGAACTTGCGAAAAGAAATGAAAGCAATGACATAAAGTTAATTACAAGTTAATGCCAGTCTGCTCTGATGAATAATTTAAAATTTGTGATTAACCATGCCCTAATGTTTTAAGCCACATTTAAAAAAAAAAACCTGAAAGTGAGGCTAAAATGAATACATAGTCTGGCACCATCCCATTCAACAGGTCACAATTTATAAAATACATTCAGGGAACACGACCAAAATGGCGTCCTGGTGAATCGGGTCCATGGTCCATTAGTCCTCCAGTGTCAAGTCACGAGCCAAACTTTTCAAAAGCGACAAATACATTCCTTTATTATTCTTGGACTTGTCATGGACTTGTAACGGACTAGTAAACCAACTTTTACTAATAAAATATAAATCTCATTTTTACACTGTGATTAATTCCATGTCAGTTTGGTAATTTGACAGGTAAGGATCGTGACGTATATTTTATTCCAGTTTCAAAAAAGTTGTACATTTTATCCTAGTCAAGGTTTTACATTTACATATTTTGGGCTCTGTAGTGAGTAGACTTTTAGGAAAATGTTGGTATAACAGTGCGGTGTTTACCGAAGACAAGGCCAGTTCATACTTCGTGCGAATGCTAGCTTTACGCGTATCCGTGATGTCATTTTCGTTTTGTATAATGCACGAGGTTTTACAACTATCGCAATTCTCTGCGACTTTTTACTGGTTTTTGAAGACCTTTTTTGACATTTGTGACTATGTATAATCCTTCTTTTAATGGTCTAATGATGTTGCTTTACAGTCAACACACGACAAAAAGTCACTATGACTAAAATATCCGCCAATTTGCTTGTATATAGACTGTGTTTTTGTATCTGTTTTATACTTAAGAATATTTCTAAAATTTCAATTAACGAACAGGTGTTTTCACTGATAAAGAAATGTATATATTTATATATAAAACGTCTACACGTTTACCGCTCTACATTGTAATCAGCTGTCTGGGGCATTATTTTATGTATACAGCCGTGTATATTGTTGTTGTCAAGTCAACAAGTTAGCTGTTTTTTTATAAGTAAAATTAGATTGTTTTTGTCTATAGTTTTGAAATGATATGTTTTAAGAAAATGTATTCTGATCATAAGCGGATAAATTCTCGTATAATTATAAAATCCAATGTATCTGAAACGGCTACTTATCATATAGCAGTATCGATAGAAAACAATTCAGTCCATGAAAAGTAGAAACGATCTCCTCATGAAACACTATATACAAATAATAAATGTTTATGAGTGCAATGGTAAGAATAATTTCATGAGATGACAGATGGAATGTTCCATTCCACGAGTCGAAGCTGAGTTGAGTTGAACACTGTCACCGAATGAAATTATGTTTTCCATTCCACGAATCAGAAGCATTCATTATTTGTTTTGCACAACACCTCAATAAAATCCTCGTCATCTGATTGGTCAGAGCTACCAATAGTGTGACCATGGAGGAAGGTTTGTGTTCCTTCCTCCATCATGGTGTGACCGGGCATTGGAACTTTTATTTACCATGGAATAGAACTTTTATTTTTGCGGTGCGGCCGGGTGGTGGGTTTGGGACGAATTATTCAATGACAAGTGGTCAACAATCCACCAATCAGATGACATGGATTGATTCAGGCGTTGTTATTATCCCGTATGTAGCTTCTACGGAAGAAAACCTTTTGGACTGAAATATAGGCTAATGAGCAAGGGCGAGGCCTCATTGAACGGCAGAATGGAGTCAAATGTACTGCTATTTTCCATACTTTGGTTTGTCTGATTTTTTTCTTATAGTATCACTTGAGTGTGGATAGTTCTGATACATTTATGAGAGATATTAGAGAATTAGACTTCGTGCTCCAGGTGATACACCAGGGGCGTGAACTTTTTATTAAATGCCGTATTCAACCGTTTAGAAATAGGAAATCGGTGTATAACAATTATTATTTTAAAATGTTTTGAATAGAAATCATGTTTTATATAGAAATCGATTATTCTATATCTCATTAAACTATTAGTAGAATACTTTCCAACGAGACATGGTAATTTTCGAAAGGTATGTATATTAATATTAATTGCGTATTTTCTCGCAATTTTGTTAGAAGAAAATTACACTCGAACAGCCTGTTACGATTGATTGTACGAATGTGAACGTTATCGGACCCTTTACATCATTTCTACATTAAATCTGTATACACACATTTTTTAATCGACCGTACATTGTATACGATTAAAATTTATTTATTGTCAGGTTTGTCTCATTTTTAGAACATTTATTTTGGGGTTGTTGCATTTACACCTCTAGCGCACCAAAAGATCCGTCTCAATTCATGTCGGACGGCAAAAAATGTGAAGTTTGTCAGTCAGGCCTAATTCTTCATGAATTCAACGTGAGTAGATTTATTTTCGTTCGGTGTCTCATTCAAAAGTAAATAATGTTCGTGTTGCTATAGAAAAACCAGCAATTAAACAGTATTTTCAGGGTGATCGAAGATAGTAAGGGCCGAACAATTTGGGCAGTTATCCATTCCTCAGAAGTGTCTGGAAATAATTAGAAAACCAACCTTGATTGATTTTTTTTTCAATTCTTGCACTTTATTCCGTGCCGTTTTCTGACAACAAGAGGGCGCTGTTGCTGTGATTGTATCATTGCGGGCACACAATGTGCACATTTTGAACCCACAATAATTATGGTGCTCACTCAGTGTTCGACAGTCGGTGGATTCAAGATTTTTGAAAGGGGGACTAAACTTGTGCACGTGGCTTGGCTGTCGATTTTCAAGATTTTTTCGGGCGGGGGCGAGGAGTGAAGTTAAAACACAAAAAGACCAAAGGCCTGATGCAATGAATCAAAATTTGTAATTATGAGCATGGGCCTATAACGTTATTCAGTGAAGTTCGAATTTGGGATTATTTGTCGGGGAAGGATGTTTGGTCACCCCAACGTAAGTTATTTATTCGATGGCTGGAAAAACAACACCTAACACCAATACAACAAAACTGACCACGGCAACAAAAGTTTCCGGGTTGTCGCTGAAATACTGAAGCTTCTGCGTGATTTTGCTTTACATGAACATGGACGATCGTAGGCCATAGGGCCTATCTGCGATGACATTTTGATCAGCGTTTGACTAGAGACGTTCGCACGTTGCAATCAGTGCGCAGGCGTAAGTTGCGATACAAATCAATCGTTTGTCGACTAAGGGCCCTTGCCCGAACTTGCTCGTAATTTGCGTCAACGGCTTTAGCACATCTTTGCGCCCCCAGCGGCCACGTACAAAAACAATCAAGTGGCGGAGGGAGGGGTCACGCCCCTTGAGAGTGTCAAGGAGTAATTTCATGATTAATTTTGCATTGTGGCGATTTGAATTCATTTCTTGCAGTGTTAGTTGCATATTTTATATTTTTAGCTGTTTCGGTTACACACCGAAACAGCTCTTGTTTTCGTTAAGATTTTTTTTTTCTTTTTTCATTTTTTTTTAGCTGTTTCGGTTACACACCGAAACAGCTCTTGTTTTCGTTAAGATTTTTTTTTTTTCTTTTTCTTTTTAGCTGTTTCGGTGACACAGAACACCGAAACAGCTCTTGTTTTCGTTAAGATTTTTTTTTTTCTTTTTCTTTTTTTTTTTTTTTTTTTTTTTTTTCTCTCTTTTTCAGACTTTTTCTCCATAGGTTTAACACACGTTTCTTCTACAAGTCCACTTTGCCACTTTTTTAAATATGATTTTTCAGACTTGGTACATACTTAGACCACCACCTACAGATGGTCCTAGAAGAAATTTGTGATCATGACGTCATCAAGTGTCAGGTTACGTCACATTAAAGATGCATTTTTGCCCATAGGGTTTGTACATGTATTAAAACGCTCCATTTAGGCACTTTCGTAAATCCGATCGACGTTACACTTGGTACACACTTAGACCACCACCCACAGATGGTCCTAGAAGAAATTTGTGATCATGACGTCATCAGGTGTCAGGTTACATCAATTAAAGATGCATTTTGCCCCATATGTTTTGTACACGTTTTAAAACACACCAGTTTGGCATCTTCGTAAATCCGATCGACTTTAAACTTGATTCATACTTAGACCACCACCCACAGATGGTTCTAGACGAAATTCGTGATCGTGACGTCATCAAGTGTCAGGTTACGTCACATTAAAGATGCGTTTTTCCCCATATGTTTTGTACACGTTTTAAAACACTCCAATTTGGCACCTTCGTAAATCCGATCGACCTCAGTCTTGATACATTTTTAGACCACCACCCAAAGATGGTCCTAGAAGAAATGCGCGATCGTGACGTCATCAGGTGTTGGGTTACATCACATTAAAGATGCATTTTTCCCCATAGGGTTTGTACACGTTTTAAAACACTCTACTTTGGCACTTTTGTAAATATGCGATCGACGTTAGACCTGGTACACACTTAGACTACCACCCACAGATGCTCCTAGAGGAAATTCGTAATCGTACCAATGCCGAGATGGGTTATAGATGAAAATTCATGTGATGTCATCATCAAATGTCATGTGACGTCCCTTAAAGGGGCATTTTGTTCTTCATAGGCCTATATTTATAGACCTATATGTTCGATTTGGTTATAACTTGACATGTACGTATAATGTGCTGTATAGATGACTTTTTTAGTGACGTCACTGATTGTTCATCACGTGCACAGAGTATTTTGAATATCCGAAACAGCTTGTGTTTGTCCACAAACACATCTCTAGTTTTTTTTTTTTTTTTTCTTCTCCTTTTTCAGACTTTTTCTCCATAGGTTTAACACACGTTTCTTCTGGCAGTCCACTTTGCCACTTTTTTAAATCCGATTGATTTCAGACTTGGTACATACTTAGACCACCACCCACAGATGGTCCTAGAAGAAATTTGTGATCGTGACGTCATCAGGTGTCAGGTTACGTTACATTAAAGATGCATTTTTCCCCATATGTTTTGTACACGTTTTAAACACTCCAGTTTGGCATCTTCGTAAATCCGATCGACTTTAAACTTAATTCGTACTTAGACCAC